AGTTTGTCTAAAAACTCCCCTAGCCATTCACCTGGACCAGTGGTGGTGACTATGGTAACGAGGTACAGTCAAACCCCGCTATAGTAAACACTGTTAAATAGTGAACTCTCGGATATAATGAACGAAATGTTTGGTCCCGTGCCTTGCTATACATGTATAATATTATTTCTTGTGGATATATGAACTAAAAAAAAGTGATAAAGTTGGATATTATGAATTTTTTTCCGTCTTCGACTGATTTTTTTCCCATTTTTTTTATTAATAATTTTGAAATGTCTGCTTCAAAATAAATAGTTAGACTGATTTTTAAAACCATCCATAGATAAGCATTTTTTCTTGTTTGCTTCTTTTATCACACTTTTCATCCCTAAACAAAGGCTTAGCCACGCAGATGTATGGACAAATTTTTCTCTGCATCAGCTAAAGATAACTATTTTTTTTTTTTGTACACAAGACGAAGAGTAATAAAAAAAAGCAAGTTCACACTATTTTTGTTACACTATGTGTTATTTTTCATTCATTTTTGTACTTCATTTTATGGGTCATTTATTTAAATAGTGTATAATGAAAAGGAGTTCAGAATCATTAGATAAATTTGTTTGCGGAACGGATATAGTGAATCAAAATTTCGGTCCCTTGAATGTTCAATATAGCGTGGTTTGACTGTATATCTATTTCAAGTAGGGGTGTGTGGGTCACTATTTAGAGCAGATTTTGGCTCGTGCCGGCCAGAGAAAGGGAATCTTTTTCTTCGGTCTGGCATGTTAACTTTAGAGTAAAGAAAAACTACCCTCACTGAAATGTGCTATTCTTGTTTCCATGGCAGCAAACGGCTTCGGACTTTGTGGCGGGGGAGGGAGGGAGTTATTACCGTTGACTAACTATAGTAACTAATCCAAAATCTCGAATTCGATGGTAGAAGCTACCAAGATGGATAGGAAAGCAGTCAACAGAAGTCATTTAAAATATGGGTAATAATAAAAATGTAGAAATTTTTTCTTTCTTTTGTATTCACAAAGAATAACTTAACTGGAGGCTGCCGATTAATGTTTGCTTTATAAGTAGAAATATTTTAAGAAGAAAATTAGAATTAGTAATGTTCGCAATTCAATTTTCTGTAATACTAGTTCTGTGAGCCGTGATAGCTCAGGGGATAGAGCGTTCGCCATCCAATGCGGCGAACCGGGTTCGAATCCCAGTCGATACGAATCCCGCATTCGGCTTACACCGACCACAGTGCTAACGTAAAATATCCTCAGTGGTAGACTGATCATGGGTTAGAGTCCCCTTGCCGTCAGACTAACCGTGGTAGGTTCTCGTGGTCTTCCTCTCCATGTGACACAAATGCCTGGCTAGTTCCATCAAAAAGTCCTCCACGAAGGCAAATTTCTCCCAATCCAGGAGTTCCCTTGTGTTTTGGATTGGTTTCAAAATGACAAGGCTACGGCCAACCCAAAAATAAGGTCGGCTGTTCAACGACGGTTATAAAATATAACATACAAGTTCTGTATTATTAACAGACTTAAAGAAAATTAACATTCTTTGTTCAATATTGCTAATTAAAAGGGCTGAAATATTAACTTTCCTCAAAAGAATTTCCCAATGGGGGAGGGAGAGAAGCAGTTTTTTTTCACGTTAGATTTTTGTATCTTTCATATCAGCCTTTTGATGGTGTTTTGAAAAGTTTGTCATAATAACGGAAATCTTAGCAATATGCCGTTACACAAAGTTTTTATAAATGCATTTTGTTTTGTGTTCAATCAATTTGTAAATCTTATTACATAGCAAATACAAAATGTAAAATGTTAAAATTATTGCGATGGCTAAGAGGTAGGGAATATTATTTAAATAAAATTTATCATTCTAATTTTTACAAGTTACTCAAGGCAAATCGTTCTTAAAGCAATGAACGAGAAAACGGTTCGCAAATCGATTTCCCCAAATTTTTGTGGCGACAGGAATTATGAGTAATAAAACAGGTCACAATGTTTAAATAGTACATTATAAGTGAGTAATTTTAGCTTTTAAAGTTTTACAAAAAGTAATTTTTTCAAGAACTGTAACTGATTTCATTTAAATTTTGGATCTTGTTATTCAAGAGAAAATTATACCTTACCTTTTTTTAATACAAATAAAGTAACAAATGCGTATAATTTCACATTGCATGGAATTATTTTTAAATAAAAAGTTTTCATAACTATAGGTTTATTTGATTCAATTTTAATTGTTTTAGTGACAAAGATTAAAGAATTTTTGACCCTTTTCTCTACAGGAAATTTTCACATTTTGCGGAATAAAGTGTTCATTCAAATAAAATGAGTTTTTGTGTCTTAAAATAGAGAGCAATGCTTTTTCCCCGCATCTAAACTAGGTATTTAAAAATAAACTTTGAGGTTAAAAAACATAAGTGCCACGAAATCCATGACAGTGGCTAAGATAGTTACAAATAATTTATGGAAAAAATGCTTTTAAAATGTTCCTTAATAATTTAATAGATAAATTGCTGTTAGCTAGAAGTGTATTATAATATGAAGCTGTGAGTGATTACCTTAAGGAAAACAACACAGCGATTGAAAATTTCCTCATAATCACAAAAAAAAAAATTAATAGATCACTTCAAAAAAAAACTTTTTCAAAACAATATATCTTTCAAGATATTATAAGAAAAAAATGGCTTTTTTTAAAAATATGTCAGGCCAAAAGTATCCAAACAATCTAAGACAGTTAGTCAAACAGAAAACAATTTTTGAACCGTCAAACCGTAACTCTTGATGTGGAAGAGCCTAACATTGTGCTGGAAAAGAGCGTTCACGCACATTTAGACGTCCCAAGAGAAGGCAACCATGAAATCGTCTACCACTAATAATAGCCTTGTTGGTAGGGCGTTGGACACATGCCGAAGAAATCAAGAGTTCGAGCACAGCCGGTCGAAGATTCCTGTGGAGTAAATTATGACTGGTGCACGTTAAACCAGTCGGGTCACAAGGACCTCCGAGTCAATGAGCACGACTGGGGGTACTGAATTGATAATTGTTCTAATTCAGGTAAAAATTACGATCTGTGAGTGAATAAACGGATGTATGTACGGGTTCACCTTCTAACCCGAGCTGTGACGTGTGTGTGTCTGTAAGCGTATTCTTGGCCGGCGCCACTGAAAAACAAGAAGCGTCCCCCCTGTTTTAAATTCGCTTGCTTTCAACAAGTAGGTTTGCTTGTATTGGCATGAGAAACCACGTCTTAGGGTGTCCGAATACTTTTGTCCTCATTATTTTAACAAAAGTTTCAAGAAATGTAATAAAAAATTCTTACGTTGTGGAGCTGCAAGCGAGTCAGCGCATCGTCCAGATCTGCCACTTGCTGTCTTAGTGACTGAAAGAGAAAACAAAATAAAATATATTTACTTACTTAGAAAGTCATGGGTACAATTCGCGCGCATAAAAAAAAAATACTATAATTTTTTTGTACCTCTGGCAAATAAAGTCAAATTTATTATTCTAAGTGTAATTGAATTTTGATCTAAGATAATGCGAAAATGATTTGTAATAGAGGTAAGTACATGAAAGGGTTCCATAAACTGTCTGAAAAACTGATTCAGTGACAAGTTTTGTGAAAATTTTCGCGTGTTATTTAGGAATTAGACAACTCAATGCTTTCTCTCGGTCTTTTCAGTCATTCGCCTTTTTCTATTGCCTCGATTGCTATAAATCTACTTGACTAACCCATTTCCATTTAAGTTCCTAATAAGTTAATTAAGCTAAGTTTTAATTAAGTTAATTTCTTTTCTAATTTTAAGATTTTTGCATATTTTTTTCAAAATTAGACAATTTTAAGTTAATGAAAAATATCTGCTACGTATCTATTTTGTATGTTGTAATAATGAGAACAGTTTACTGAAACTTTGGTATAAGGATCTTTTAAAAAAAAATGATATAAAAATTGGAGCAGCATTTTATCTAGATTAGAGACATTATTATCACTTTACGATATTTCTCCGGAAAAATGGAAAACACAAACAAAATAACCGCATCTGATTTCCTCGTACTTTTTCAAAAAAATAAATAAACATTCATCGTTTCTACTGAGATGAATTCTTTGTTTCCTTGATTAGACTCCCTTTCATCTATTGCCAGGGCGGGGGTTTGAACCTAACACGTTTTGAAACCAGGGGTCTGTCCAGACATTTTGTGAAAGGTCCGTTTTTCGTGAAATTGTGAAAAAATTACTCTCATTCTTTCAACCAGGGTCCGTTATTGCAAAAAAAAACTTTTTCAAGGAGTTTTTAAATTGTAAAGACATACAAGATTATGCTCAACACTGTAAAATTATAATTAAGAAAATTAAATTTTAAAAAATAAACAGCAATTGCTTCTTCTAAATTAGAGATGCAACATACAATTATTTGGTATTTAGCCTATACTGCTGAACGCAGAATATTAATTTCGGACGAATAATGGAAGAATCGTCTGCCGAAGACAAAACTTAATTCGTTTACATCCATCTTTCTTGTTTTCTGCCCTGGAAAGGGTTTATTCGATTAACAAAATAATAATGAAGATAAACAAATTTGTGAAGGGTCCGATTAAAAGAAAAATCATTTTGTGAAGGGTCCGTTTTTAAGTTAAAATATTTTGTGAAGGGTCCGTTTTTATGAAAAGATATTTTGTGAAGGGTCCGTTAACGGACCCAAATTTCTTCTAAACAGACCCCTGGAAACGCTTTATATAATGTGCAGCAGATAACATTTATTGAATTTCTTTGAAATAAATAACAGTTCAGAATTCAGTGCTTCAAAAAATATTGCCTGTTAGTAAAATTTAATCTTAAACTTGCTGCACCCTTTAACATGGTTATTCGAAGCACCGAAAGCAAAGCCACAGTTTCAGTTATTTGAAGTAAAGCTATGCATTCCATCTAGCTGTAAAGAATTATCTGGGCACTGAAAAATAACTTAAATATTCTTTTAAAAAATTCAACTTTGCTTAAAAATATCGCCAATTTGACGACATTCTTCCACGAAGATGAAAATTATCAAAATCGATGCCTTTTTTTATGTTTTTTAAAAAACATTTATGAGCCTAGATAAGGCAGATTTTTAATAAGTTTTCAAATATAACAAAATTAGATTACAAACGCTTATCATTTTATGAAAACAGTAGTTCTGCTCCCAACTGTGATTTCGCACGATTTACAGAACGAGGTTAAAAGCTAAAGAAAGGCCAAACATTCATGAGTTACAAAATAGCAAGAGTTATAAAAATTATTCGCAAAAATGTATCATTCATTTCAAACCTTTTATTCTTTTTTCAACTTTAAGTAAAAAGGTTTTTAAAAAAATTATAATAAAACAATATTAATAACTTAATATTATAATAACTCTAATGTCAGATAACTCATTCACATATTACTTTTGTTTACAATTTTTGAAGGGAATCTGAAAACGAGAAAGTGTCAAACTTTTTAAATTAAGAAAAACTATTTTAAGCTGACAGTCGAAGTATAAAAATTTTTTTCCCGTTCCATTTCATTAAAAACTAAACTGTAAAGACAGATTTGAGTTTTGAAATATTTTGAAAAATTTTGCATCGAATTAATGTTTACTGTATGCTGATGCGACTGTAAGAAATTTATCTGTGAATGCATTTTTTTCTTTCAACATTTGATTAACTTTGTGAGGGAAAAACATTTATTAAAACATTACATATTGTGAGGGAAAACATGTATTTAAATTTGTCATAAACTGCTTTTGAATTATTTCAAAAATAGCATAGTTCTGCTAGCAGATAGTTCAGTTTAATCAAAAATTAGTTTCAATTAGAGTTTACGCACACTTTTTATAATTTAAAATATTTGATTGCTAATGTCAGGTGAGCAAAAAAAGGACCACAATGAATAACTTTTGTTCTAATTATCAGATTTTAAAGTTTTGGGACTCAATCTTGATGGTTCGATTCTTATGGGTGATTTCAGATATGCTAATTAATTATTGATATTTTGAAGTACGAAATCAGACAAAAAATCGCACTTTCTCTGAATAAATTTGAAGGTATCGGGAATCCTTTGAAGGAATCGGATTTTTGGTCCCCAAAGTTTTGGGGCAGACGCCATTTGAGAAATATAGTCTCATTAGTTTGGTCAAGAGAATTGTCGAACGTTTGGTCTCCTTAATGTTAGTTTTACTTTCTGATAACTTTTTCAACTGAATTGAAACTTCTTTGAAAGCAAGTATAAAATCAATCATATATCAGCAGTGTTCGGTCGATAATCTCTGCTTTCAGGGTAAGACTGAGTAATCTCTAACTGGCCCACGAAAGCTGCAGTGCAGCGGAGTAAGCATGTAACTATATACAAGAAAACAACTATACGAGTTTTACGGGAATACGTTTAGACACTGATTTTTACAGAAGTTTACCTTACAGTGTAGTATAATAAGAAATAATCATAGAATTACGTAATAATTGAGAAACTCTTTTTGTTTTAAACAGATTTTAAAAAGAAATCAAAATTGAAAACGTAATAACAACATAGTAGAATAAGAAAAAATTAATGTTACAAGTAAATTTGTAATGCGAAAACATTATACAGGAAAGCTTTTTGACTTTCATTAATTTTACGCTGATGTCAATGAAAACAATATTGAAATTAATGAGGAAAGACTGATTTATACTATACCTCGCAAAAAATTAAAAACAAAAATCCTAAAAATAGATTAGATAGAATAGATTTTTTAGATTGTGAAACAAAATAGAATGAATAATTGAAGGTACCTTGCGTTAATCTTTGATAAAAATTATTATTTATGATTACATATTATTGTATTATTTAATAAAATATACAATAATCGCAGATCGCATGTATCAGATCGCATGTTCAGATCGCATGTATGTTTAAAATTACTTTTATAATAAATGCAGCTATAATTTTATACATAAATTTGGCTTTTATTAGTTGTGTGTTGCTCTATTCTTGCTTTCGATGGAGATTTCTTTTATGGTTAAGATTTATAAAATAAATAGTAAATACTAGTTTAGAAGATAAATGTGCATCAATTACTATTTTAATTATGCTTAGTGTTTATGAATTTAAAACCTGTTTTGTGTTGTTTAAGTATTTCAAAAGGTTATTTTCTTTTTAACGAATTTTCCCTATAACGAACTTATTATCGGGATTTAACGACTTCGTTAAATAGAGGTCCGATTTATACATACACACACAGAGTGGAACCCTAATTTTATGTTTTCCGTCGGACTAGTACCAAAAAAAAAAGCATGAAGCGCGATAATGTAAAATCGACTTAAAAATTAAATATAATTTTTGACTGAGAAAAGAAAAACAGGCATAAATTGAGCAATTAAAATAGACATAGATTGATAAGAAATGGATAAAAAATATAACAAGAGAGTTAAAACACTTACTGCTATCAAGGCTATGTTGGGATCTGGTTGAGCTGGTCTTCTTGCTCTAACCTGGGCATCCCTCGCACCCCTCTGCCTGTAAGAGAGACACAGACTATCATCATTCCCGTCAATGATTTGATGACAGATAAATTATAGAATGTGTCTCAATTTAACTTGAAACCAAACTCAAATAAAAAAAAAAAAAAAAAAAAACAGTGACATGGAGTGATGACGTCACTGCTCAAAACTAGATATGCTGAGAATTAAATGAATTAATAACTTATTTTAATTAATACTTAATCACAAATAACTATTTATAAAAGAAATAAATATTGATCAGTATTTAACTTATTAATTAGTAATTTATTATTCAGTAATTAACTAGTAGTTAATTATCTGTTCATTTTCTAATTAGTAATTAAAAATTATTAACGACTCATTTATGAACTGTTCATTATTTTTCAATGAAACATTTATAACCAAATGACTAATTAAAAATAATTATTTATCGAAAATGATTATTACATAATGATTGATCATTTAAAAATTATCCAACTTCTAAATTTGAATTTAATTATTAATCAAATATTTATTTATAAATACAATTTTATTGCTGGTTTTTCCCTTGCGGAAAAAAAATTTATTGTTTAGCTTATTTTGTGAAAATTTTATATGAAACTAAATTACAGATAAGCATCAATGCAGTGAGATCACCAGTCTTCATCACGTGGTATATATACAATGATACTATTTTTGGGAGATGGCTGTGAGCAAATCCTGAATAAGGTTGTTATTTGGAGAGCGTATGGCAAAAATATTTATTTCACAAACTTTATCTGCATTCTTTTAACATTAAATATTTCATAAATTTGATGATATTTCGCGAAATTTTTTACGATAGTTCTCTCTTTCGAGCGAATAGTTTGTCCTTTTTCAGACATTTTGCTGGGAAAACAGTAGTTTTTAAATTTAAGATATGTTTCATCAGCTAGAGAAATGAAAGGTATCATAGCAGATGATAAAGCGAAGTAAAGTGACTGAAAAATAATTAACTGTTTGTGTTTGGCGTGCATTAAGGGTTGTCTCCATTTCAAGCTCGGAGATGTTTCCCTTCTTACTCCGGAGCTGAAATGAACTCTGCGTCTAAGGAAGTGGACCCAAGTTCCAACTCCTGGTGAACGAACTGTAAATAAATTGTCAGATGCAAATCAAATAGATAATATTCCTGGGCTCAAATGCAACTAATAATGGGACCATTCACCATAATTAAATTATATTTGTTTGACCATTTTTTTTCCAAAATGAATAATAAAAAAATCTACTAACCTCTGGGCACGTGCATCTCTTCTTCTATCATTACCATCATTTCGTTGACGATTCATATCTTATATCAAAATTCTTAAAAATAAGAGAAGTAAAACAATTAGCAACTGTTCTTAATAAAATCGTCAAATAGCATTGATTATGTACATACTAATTTACATTGAAACAGTATCTAATATAATTTTATAAATTGAGCACTGAACAACTCATAATAGATTAAGTAAATGCAGTCGGATCTCTATTAAAGAAAGTCGTTAAATCCCGATAATAAGTTCGTTATTTGGAAAATTCGTTAAATAGAAAATCACATTTTTAAATACTTAAACAACGCAAAACAGGTTTAAAATTCATAAACACTAGACATAATTAAAATAGCAAATAATACACATTTATCTTGTAAGCTAGTATCTATTTTATAAATCTTAACCATAACAGAAATCTCCATCGAAAGCAAGAATAGAGCAAAACGTTATCCAGTGTTACACTATCATGCTACATACATTTTCAACTAAAAAAAATCTCAATTTATGTATTAAATTACAGCCGCATTTATTATGAAAGTAATTTTAAACATACATTACCACACGCGTTCTCAAGTTTAATTGCTATTGATAAAATCCGTTATTAATTTTGTCTGAGTTTTTCGTTTGAAATGCAAACAAAAAAGGAAAGAAATTTTACTGCTTACTGGGAAATAGGGAAAATGGATCTCAAAGAAAAGTTTGTTAAATAGAAAATTCACTTCGCTATTTGAAATTTCCAAAATGTTCTTAGTTCCTAGAAAAAAATCGCAAAATGGCGCAATTCGCAAAATGGAAGTTCGTTGAATAGAAGTCCGATAAAATATACTTGATTTGAAAATAAAAAATAAAACTTCATTACCTTCAAAAATATGCAAATATAAAAATCGATATGACATATTAATTAGGCCAATGAATATATTCAATTGTTATTTGACCATATTCAAACAAAATAGTCAAATAACCATAACTAAGATAGTATTCAAACTGTTAATAGTGTGAAAAACAGTTTATTAACTGCTTTCACCTAAATGCGGTTTAACGACCAGAATTTTATCAGACAAACTAGATCCCCCGAATGAAGTCCAACAGCTGGTTTTATAGCTGGAAGGACAAATATGTCAATCATCTCTCGACCGACAGAAAGTTCTACTTCACACTACAATATTTGTTCTTGATAAAACACAATTGAACCTCAACCTAATTCCAATGCCCATCACCTAACGAAAAGCCTAGCTCCAATGTCCTAGTAAATTTTTCATTTTTNTGGTGGGAAAGACTTTAAAACAAAACTTACAACAGTTACTTTTCTCAACAACTGAAATTTAGAATAGTGTGATTAAGAAAAATATGTGAACTGTTTGCAATTTCAAATTAATATTGAAATGCACAGGTTTAGAATTTTCCACAGTGAAAAGTTTTCGGAACTTCAGTGTTCAAAAAAGTATACGAAAGCTAGACGTTAAGAACGTATCCAATGAGCGAGCAAAGCGAGCATCGGATTGCGAAGCAATCCGAAATGAACTGCGAAAGGATTTCCGGGGGTTGGCGAGCGAGCAGGGGGCGAAGCCTCCTAGTTTTATACATAAATTTGGGTTTTTTTTTTAGTTGTGTGTATCATGTCCGGGATAATGTTTTGCTCTATTCTTGCTTTCGATGGAGATTTCTTTTATGGTTAAGATTTATAAAATAAATAGTTGATACTAGTTTACAAGATAAATGTGCATCAATTGCTATTTTAATTATGCGTAGTGTTTATTAATTTAAAACCTGTTTTGTGTTGTTTAAATATTTTCTTTTAAACGAATTTTTCCTATAACGAACTTATTATCGGGATTTAACGACTTCGTTAAATAGAGGTCAGACTTAAACATACACACACAGAGTGGAAACCTAATTTTACGTTTTCCGTCGGACTAGTACAGTTTACGCACACTTTTTATAATTTAAAATATTTGATTGCTAATGTNAAAATTAAATATAATTTTTGACTGAGAAGAGAAAAACAGGCATAAATTGAGGAATTAAAATAGACATAGATTGATAAGAAATGGATAAAAAAAATATAACAAGAGAGTTAAAACACTTACTCTTATGAGGGCAAGGTTGGGATCTGCCTGAGCTGGTTGAGCTGGTCTTCGTGCTCCAACCTGAGCATCCCTCGCTCGCCGCTGCCGTCTTTCTCTGTAAGAGAGTCAATAACAAATGATTTAATTACAGATAAATTATAGAATGTGTCTCAATTTAACTTGAAACCAAACTCAAATGAGAAAAAAATAAATAAAACAGTGTCATGGAGTGATGACGTCACCGCTCAAAACTAGATATGCTGAGAATTAAATGAATTAATAACTTACTTTAATGCTTAATAACAAATAACTATTTATAAAAGAAATAAATATTGATCAGTATTTAACTTATTAATCAGTAATTTATTATTCAGTAATTAACTAGTAGTTAATTATGTGCTCATTATTTAATTAATAATTATAAACTTATTAACGACTCGTTTATGAACTGTTCATTATTTTTCAATGAAACATTTATAACTAAATGACTAATTAAAAATAATTATTAATCGAAAATGATTATTACCAAAAGATTGACCATTTAAAAATTATCCAATCTCTAAATTTGAATTTAATTATTAATCAAATATTTATTTATAGATACTTTTTTGTCGGTTTTGCCCAAGTGGAAAAAAATTTATTGTTTAACTTATTTTGTGAAAATTTTATATGAAACTAAATTACAGATAAGCATCAATGCAGTGAGATTATTATTATAGCTCGTTCACCAGTCTTCATCACGTGGTATATACAATGATACTATTTCGCTATTTTTGGGAGAAGGTTGTGAGCAAATCCTGAATAAGGTTGTTATTTGGCGATCGTATGGCAAATATATATATATATATATTTCTTTTTTCTTAACGGCAGGCACTGAACTTTCGTTCTTCGCCAAGGAAGATGCCGGAGTTGTTACTCATTTAACGTTACCCAGTGGGCACCTGTGAACCTAAGTCACGGAGGCGAGCAACGTTACCCACGCCACACTGCCACATACCCGTTTATAGGGTGGGCCACATTCACACAATAGAGAACACACACAGAGAGAAACATCCATGCCCTGAGCGGGATTCGAACCCGCAACCATTGGCTTCTCAGTCAGGTACGCTGACCGCTCGGCCACCAGGCCGGCATGGCAAAAATATTTATTTCACAAATTTTATCTGCATTCTTTTAACATTAAATATTTCATAAATTTGATGATATTTCATGAAATTTTTTACGATAGTTCCCTCTTTTGAGTGAGTTTGTCTTTTTTGAGACATTTTACTAGGAAAACAGCAGTTTCTAAATTTAAGATATGTTTCATTAGCTAGAGAAACGAAAGGTATAATAGCAGATGATAAAGCAAAGTAAGTGGCTGAAAAATAATTAACTGTTTGTGTTTGGCGTGCATTAATGGTTGTATCCATTTCAAGCTCGGAGATGTTTTCCTTCTTACTCCCGAGCTGAAATGAACTCTGCGTCCAAGGAGGTGAACCCAAGTACCAACTCCTGGTGAACGAACTGTAAATAAATTGTCAGATGCAAATCAAATAGATAATATTCCTGGGCTCAAATGCAACTAATAATGGGACCATTCACCATAATTAAATTATATTTGTTTGACCATTTTTTTTTTCAAAATGAATAATAAAAAAATCTACTAACCTCTCGGCACGTACATCTCTTCTTCTATCATCACCATCGTTTCGTTGACGGTCCATACTTAATATCAAAATTCTTAAAAATAAGAGAAGTAAAACAATTAGCAACTGTTCTTAATTAAATCGTCTAATAGCATTGATTATATACATACTAATTTACATTGAAACAGTATCTAATATAATTTTATAAATTGAGCACTGAACAACTCATAATAGATTAAGTAAATGCAGTCGGATCTCTATTAAAGAAAGTCGTTAAATCCCGATAATAAGTTCGTTATTTGGAAAATTCGTTAAATAGAAAATCACATTTTTAAATACTTAAACAACGCAAAACAGGTTTTAAATTCATAAACACTAGACATAATTAAAATAGCAAATAATACACATTTATCTTGTAAGCTAGTATCTATTTTATAAATCTTAACCATAAGAGAAATCTCCATCGAAAGCAAGAATAGAGCAAAACGTTATCCAGTGTTACACTATCATGCTACATACATTTTCAACTAAAAAAAATCTCAATTTATGTATTAAATTACAGCCGCATTTATTATGAAAGTAATTCTAAACATACATTACCACACGCGTTCTCAAGTTTAATTGCTATTGATAAAATCCGTTATTAATTTTGTCTGAATTTTTCGTTTGAAATGCAAACAAAAAGGGAAAGAAATTTTACTGCTTACTGGGAAATAGGGAAAATGGATCTCAAAGTAAAGTTTGTTAAATAGAAAATTCACTTCGCTATTTGAAATTTCCAAAATGTTCTTAGTTCCTAGAAAAAAATCGCAAAATGGCGCAATTCGCAAAATGGAAGTTCGTTGAATAGAAGTCCGATAAGACATACTTGATTTGAAAATAAAAAATAAAACTTCATTACCTTCAAAAATATGCAAATATAAAAATCGATATGACATATTAATTAGGCCAATGAATATATTCAATTGTTATTTGACCATATTCAAACAAAATAGTCAAATAACCATAACTAAGATAGTATTCAAACTGTTAATAGTGTGAAAAACAGTTTATTAACTGCTTTCACCTAAATGCGGTTTAACGACCAGAATTTTATCAGACAAACTAGATCCCCCGAATGAAGTCCAACAGCTGGTTTTATAGCTGGAAGGACAAATATGTCAATCATCTCTCGACCGACAGAAAGTTCTACTTCACACTACAATATTTGTTCTTGATAAAACACAATTGAACCTCAACCTAATTCCAATGCCCATCACCTAACGAAAAGCCTAGCTCCAATGTCCTAGTAAATTTTTCATTTTTTTTTTGGTTTTGAAACCATGCTAGTTGTAAATGGCTAAAGAAACCGTATAGTTTTGT